CCTCCTGCATTGAGTGTCTGCACTCTGGTGGTCAGTGCACATCATAGCAACCAGTAGTTCTGGTCATTACACCATAACAGTCGCTTAGGCTTTTATTATATAGATTGATTTCAGAGAGAAAGGGAGAGAGAGAGAGAGAGAGAGAGAGAGAGAGAGAGAGAAAGAAACATGAATGGTGAGAATCATTGATCGGCTGCCTCCTGCACATCACACACTGGAGATCAAGCCCTCAACCCGGATATGTCTATGACCAGAAATCAAACCAGGACCTCCTGGTTCATAGGTTGATGCCACGCCTGCCAGGCAATTCTTTTCTTCACTCATGTTGCCAGATACAGTTCCTGAAGGCCATTTATTTAAAAGTAGTCACAAACACACATATATATGAAAACATATGCATAATAATTACCAGTGTAAATTTTTGAATAAACAATATATTCCCATGGTTTAAAACCCAAAAAGTAACAAAAGGCATGCAGTAAAAAACTTGGCTCCTACTTGTGCCCTGTATCTTCTCAGATCCTATCCTACTGAAGGGTAGTCATGGTTAGTTTTATATTTTTTTAAGAACATTTTTAATATACATACAAGTACACAAACGGGGCCAAAAATAGGTTTACACTTGTGAGTATACAACTTGTATTATTAATTATATTATTTTCCATATGAACCTACTTTTGCCCCACCTTGTGTACATGTGTGTAAGTTTTCCCTTTTTATCATCATGATAACATAAGAAGTATGCTATTTTACACTTCTTTTTTTAAGATTTTTTAATTGATTTTTTAGAGAGGAAGGAGAGAGAGAGAGAGAGAGAGAAGCATTGATCTGCTGTCTCCTGCACTCCCCCTACTGAGGATCAAGCCTGCAACCCAGGCATGTGTCCTGATTGGGAGTCGAACCAGCAACTTTTTGGTGCACGGGACAACACCCAACCAACCAACTGAGCCACACAGGGCTACACTATTCTTCACTTAGTATTTGCTTCTAAAAAATCAATCTTATAGCCCTAGCTGGTTTACTCAGTGGATAGAGCGTCAGCCTGCAGACCAAAGGGTCCCAGGTTCAATTCCAATCAAGGGCACAATCCTGGGTTGCGGGTTCGATCCCCAGTTGGAGGTGTGGAGGAAGCAGCCAATCAATGATTTTCTCTCTCACCATTGATGTTTGTATCTCTCTCTCCCTCTCCTGTCCTCTCTGAAATCAATAAAATTATATTTAAAAAAATAAAAACTTACTGATATTTCATAAAGATCTCATTTGTATAGCTATATAGAATTCCTCTGTGAATGTATCATAATTTATTTAACCAGTCCTCTCTTGATGAACATTTAACTCATTCCCCATCCTTTGCTATTCCTAACACTTTTGCAAGGAAGAACACGTTTATAATTCATTTTGCTCTTGTGCAAGTATATGTGCAGGTCAGCTGTGAGTCAGTTCTTTGCTGACCTTGCTCAGTGCCTGCTGCTGGTGCTTCACTTCTCATGTACCAAGTTACAGATCCTCAGCCCAGTCCTAGTCCCCAGTCCTCAGGCCTTCGAGGACTCCCCACTGCAGCGGTTCTGTCTCCACCTGTCAGTATCGGAAGAGAATCATGCAGCTCAGTGGGCAGTGGCAAGCAGTGGGAACAGGTGACACTGTGGCTTGTTGGACTCTAATCTAGCTAAACAGCTCGATTTGCTCTTCCCCTAGCACACCCCAAGCAGTTTTTTTTTCTTTTTTAAAGAATAGTTTGATTTTTTAGAGAGAGAGGAAGGGAGAAGAGAGAAACATTGATGGGAGAGCATAATGTCGATTGGCTGCTTCCTGCACGTTCCCCTACTGGGGATCGAGTCTGAAGCCTGAGCATCTGCCCTGCCTAGGAATGGAACCAGCAACCTCTGGGTTCATGGGAAGACACCCGACCAACTGAGCCACCTCGCCAGAGCACACCCCAAGCAGTTTCTGTCCCCCTCCCTTCACACAGAGTGCCCTCCCTCTCCTCTGTCCTGGCCCCTCCAGATTCATTGCACCCTATAGCCTGAGCTCACACGCTACCACATCCATGAAACTGCCTTGATTCCTACTCCTTTCTGCTAAAAATGTTCTAGCCTTCCACCGAGTGCTCTCAGAGGCCACCTCCTGTCCTCCCCTGAATTAGGTTACAGAACCTGAGTTGTCCTAAGTTCGCTGCTAGTTAGTAATGCCTGGAACACAAGGATGGTGCCTTGCTTTGATTTCTTGTTTGTTTTTGTTTTTCCTTATCATGGGTCAATTCCCTTTATTTCTCTTCATCAAAATTTATTTTTTTTCTCAAAGGTAGAAAGGATCCTGTCTCTGCATGGGAAACGCCTGGGCTGGGGACGGTCCCTTTACCCACTCAGGTTTCCTTATTGCAACAAGGAGTGCTGGGAGTGCCGACAGCGCCTGCACAAAGCCCCGTAGCATAGCTTTCTCAGGGCTTCCTGCCAAGTCGCCAGTTGTCCATATGTGGAACAGGCCTGTTAACTTATTTTTCATTATTTTTTTACTTAATTTCCTGTTTATTTTTTGTCCCTTATCCTCTCCCTTTTGGCCACCATCAGCTTGTTCTCTATATCTATAGGTCTGTTTCTCTTTTTTTTATTGTCCTTTATTTTGTTTTTTATATTCCACATATAAGTGGATCATATGGTATTTATTCTCTATCTGATACATACTTCATTTGGTATAATATTCTCTAAGTCCATTCACATTATTGCAAATAGCAAGATTTCATTACTTTTTATTGCTGAAAAACATTCCTGTGTGTGTGTGTGTGTGTGTGTGTGTGTGTGTGTGAGAGAGAGAGAGAGAGAGAGAGAGAGAGAGAGAGATCACTTCCTCTTTATCCATGCATCTATTGATGGATATCTGGGTGGCATCCATATCTTGGCTAGTAGCGCTGCAATGAACATAGGGCTGCATATGTCTCTTTTCCAACTAGTGTTTTTGTTTTCATCAGATACATGCCCAGAAGTGGAATTACTGAGTTGTATGGCAGGTCTATTATATATATATATTTTTTTTTTATTGATTTTTTACAGAGAGGAAGGGAGAGGGATAGAGAGTTAGGAACATCGATGAGAGGGAAGCATCGATCAGCTGCCTCCTGCACAGCCCCTACTGGGGATGTGCCCGCAACCAAGGTACATGCCCTTGACTAGAATCAAACCTGGGACGCTTCAGTCCTCAGGCCGACGCTCTCTCCACTGAGCCAAACCGGTTAGGGCATGGCAGGTCTATTTTTAAGTGTTTGAGCAATCTCCAGACTTTTCCATTAGTGGCTATACTAATTTACAATCCTACCAACAGTGTACAAGGGTTCCCTTTTCTCCACGTCCTTGCCAGGGCTTGGCCTAAGGTTTCAAAAATTTGAAAAACAAAAGAATTAATTTGCCTTAATAAATAAATGTTGAACACACTCCACACACAAAAAAAATAGAGAAAAACATTTTGACTCACAAGAGACTTTAAAATATTTACCACAAAATAGACCTTAATTACTTTGATTTCTCACCCCCCAGAAGTCTCCTAGCATAGTGTCTTGAATGGAAAAGAGCAATGTTGATGCTGTTCTTGTCTAACATGAAGATTTGGGGGACACTTTCAGTGCAGAAGTCACCCCTGTCCCTGTGCATGTGGGTTGTTATCACTAAATTAAAAATGCCTCCTTCTCCCTCCTAGGAATGTTTTTAAGAACCTAGAACCATAAAGTCTGTGTTCTTAGTGGCTGCTCCTGTGCCTCCTGAGGAAGGAGGGTGCCATTCTGTTCCATGTTTATTCTGTTGCCAGCTAAAAGCATTGGCAGGATCAAAATGTCCAAATTACAGCATAACCAGCCCTTAACATGTGATTGGAAGCAGGTGTCCATTTTTATTATGAAACTAGAGGCCCGGTGCATGAAATTCATGCACAGAGGGGGGCTTTCCTCAGCCCAGCCTGCACCCACTCCAATCAGGGACCCCTCGGAGGATGTCCGACCGCTGGTTTAGGCCCCTGTGGGATGGGGCCTAAACCAGCGATCAGACACCCCTCTCACAATCCGGGACCACTGACTCCTAACCACTCACCTGCCTGCCTGCCTGATTGCCCCTAACCCCTCTACCTGCCTTCCTGATCACCCCTAACCTCTCTGCCTGCCTGCCTAATCACCCCTAACTGCCTCTGCCTACCTGCCTGATCGCTCCTAACTGCCCTTCCCTGCTGGCCTGATCTCACCCCCAACTGCCCTTCCCTGCCAGCCTGATCTCATCCCTAACTTCTCTCTCCTGCTGGCCTGATCTCGCTCCCAACTGCCCTCCTCTGCCAGCCAATTTGGTTCTGATTGGTCAGTTTCTATGCCAGTCAGCATCAAAAGCTCCGCCTCCTAGGCAGCCATTGGCTCTTCAGCATCAAAAGCTCCACCTCCTAGACAGTCATTGACTCCTCACAGTTGACCCAGATTTGGTTCTGATTGGTCGGTCTCTATGCCAGTCAACATCTCTGGGCCTATCAATGGGACCTGATCAGAAAGGCGGGGCTGATCAGCAGCCCCAGTGGAGGCCTAGAGAGAAGTGGAGGCCCAACTGTTGGCCAGGCCAGGAGAGAACGAGAAGCAAGTTCTGATCAATGGCTGCCACAGAGGCTACGGATCAGACCCTGCCTCTCTCTCTGCAGGCCTCTCTTCGGGCCTGATCCGCAGCTCCCTAAGCAGTCAGTGCTGGGTCAGGGCACCGCAGCAGCCCCAGTCAGTGCTGGGTCACCACGGCAACCCAGGACTGAATTCTGGTGTTTGGTCAAGCTTTCGGTTGTTACTACCCTGGCTCTTTATTATATAGATTAAGATTGTTTTCTGAAACATCAATTTTAACTTTAGGTTCCATTGATTTTTATTTATTAGAATTAATCTCGCCAGTGCAGGTCTGGCTAGAACATCTTTAGAGGGTAGAGCAGAAAACTCTAAGAAGTGGGGAGCTGGATCCCTGCACTTGCTGATGTTCCCTTCTTCTTGTCGACAGGTCTTTGAGGAGCCCTCCCTCAGCCTCTTCGCTCTGGAGCACTGTGAGGGCAGAGAGCTGCACCTTGAAGAGGCCGTGAACTCGGTTCTGAACAAGGACCTGCACTTCTACACCCAGTCCGTGTGGATAAAAAGTGGACAGTAAGTACGGGAGGAGGCCTCGGCCTGCTTCCGCCACTGCGTGGGGACAGAGCGGTGCCTTTTATTCCCCCTCCGCTGCTGTGTTGGATCTGACACGCTCCTCCTCATCTTCTCTCTCAAGTAATCACAGTAGTTTCTGTTCACAGGGAGACAGTGGGCCAGGCCTTCTGGGCAGAGTCTTTGGGAAGGAAGGGCTGCCATGTGCTCAGCGCTCGTGTCACAGGGCAGGTCCATCAGATGACTGCAACCATCGAGCCCATGTTCCTTTCAGAGGAAATTTAATTAAACAGCAGCTTGGTGCAGGCCACTGGCTGCTTAAGACAAGTGGCCACTTATTTGTAAGACGAATGGTGTTCCCCGTGTTTTGATTTGACATTTCCTTCCTCCTAAAGCTGTTTGCTCCAGGGCACTTATTTCCTGCTCAGTCCCTTGGTTTGACTGAGCCTGCCTCCCAGCATTGCTGCCCTCCTCCTGCCCTCCCTCTGCCCTCCTCCTGTCCTCCTCCTCCTACCCTTCTGCTCTCCTCCTCCTCCCGCCCTCCTTCTACCCTCCTCCTACCCTCCTCCTGCCCTCCTCCTACCCTCCTCCTCCTCCTGCCCTCCCTCTGCCCAGCTCCTGCCCTGCTCCTGCACAGCTGGTGTTGGGAACCAAATTTCCACTAAGGGAACACACAGCCCTCAGTGATTAATGTGAAGAGGACTGTTTTTATTTCTTGTGACTTTTAAATTTTGTAATAATCAATTCTTTATATTTAAATATCTGGGGGTTGCCAAAACTGGTTTGGCTCGGTGGATAGAGCATCGGCCTGCGGACTGAAGGGTCCCAGGCTCGATTCCGGTCAAGGGCATGTACCTTGGTTGCGGGTACATCCCCAGTAGGAGGTGTGCAGGAGGCAGCTGGTCGATGTTTCTCTCTCATCGATGTTTCTAACTCTATCCCTCTCCCTTCCTCTCTGTAAAAAATCAATAAAAATATATTTTAAAAAATACATAAATAAAATAAATAAATAAATATCTGGGGGTAATGAAAGAGAAAAAAGCCAAGAATATAAATTGATTTGAAAGTTAAGTCAACTGTTATAAATAAACGGCTTTTGCATTATTCACATGTAATAGCAGTTTATAATTTTCTGCAAAGCATTTCACATGGTTTGGTATTCATTAAACATAAATTAATTTACTCTGAGTATAATAACCCCCATATTATATTCCAGTACATTATTTAACACTTAACTCTAAACTGAATTCCATATCCCTGATTATCATACCTTTCACAGCATTTTTATACATTTCTTTTCTTTACATTCCTAAGTGGAACTGGTATTTATTGACTCATCTCAGAAGACTTGGCACCGTCTCATTTCATTCATTTGTAGAGAACTGGTGCCATTTTCCCTTGACCTTCTTATTTCTTTTCTTTTATTGTCCACCTACTCTCACTGTTCAGGACTCTGTAAGAGATGGGTACACAGCGTAAAGAATAGGTAAGGCTGTCTGAAAGGTTTCCTAGGCTACAGATGGCTTATGGAATACTGCGTCATGCCAGCCAGCTACCTACCCTCAGTGGCAGGTTTTGTTTAGGGGGTGGTTTTTTTAGTTTTTTGTTGTTGTTGTTAATCCTCACCCAAGGATATTTTTTCCATTGACTTTTAGAGTGAAAGGGAGGAAGAGGGGGAGAGAAAGAGAGAGAGAGAGAAACATCAATGTGAGAGAGACACATCAGTCAGTTGTCTCCTGCACCTGTGATTGAACCTGCAACCCAATTACATGCCTTTGAGTGGGAATCAAATCCAGGACCCTTCAGTGTGCGGGCTGATGCTCTAACTACTGAGCATACCGGCTAGGACAAGTTTTTAGTTTTGTTTAATCCCCATATTATTCCGTATCTCTGATCTGTGATGGTAATGAGGGCCATGCTTTAGTGCACCATCCGTCACAGCTTTTCAACTGTGCAATTCATTTAGATTGAGATATAATGAGATAGTTTATTAAAATCTTACCAAGGGCCCAGCCTGTGTGGCTCAATGGTTGAGCATTGAGGAGATCACAGTTCGATTCCCTGTCAGGGCACATGCCTGGGTTGTGGGCTTGATCCCCAGTGTGGGGCGTGCAGGAGGCAGCCGATCAATGATTCTCTCTCATCACTGATGTTTCAATCTCTCTCTCCCTCTCCCTTCCTCTCTCTGAAATCAATAAAAATATATTTTTTAAAGAAATGTTATGGAAAATGACTTTGTATTCATTCCCAAAGGAACACTGAATTTTGGAGCTGGAGGGGACCTTGTTTGGAAGCAGAGAAACCAGAGTCCTAACAAATCCAAATCTTCTGAGCCCCTGTCCAGTGGGCTTTTTCCTGATCATCGCTGCTTTTTCTGTTAAAAAATAGAATTACATAGTTTTTTCTTTAAAATATCTACAAAGCCAGATGTTACAGAAGGAACCCTAGCTGGTGTAATGTAGGGACTGCCTTTTGTTTTGAAGTCCCTCACTCTTTCTTTCCTGCTCTCATATAGGTGGATAGCTTATGAAGGATCCAATTTCCTAGGACGACAAATCCTACTCGAACCTAATGAGATCCAAAATTGGACAGCATTCAGCGGGTGGAAAACCATTGGTTCCCTCCGTCCTATGAAGCAGGTAAGGAGAAAAGAACCACGCCATCCAAAATAGCTCCATTTTCTAGTAGAAGTGGCATAAACCAAACCAGCATCTGAAATAATGACCATTTCACTTAGGTTGCCATTTATGTAGCAGGGCGAGTGGATTAGGGAATACTGTAGATTTTAACCAGTTCATAAAATTCTGTCTACGGTCAATGTTGGATTGTAGCTTTCCGTCCAAAGTCTTAGAGACCAGGTTCCCGTTTCATAGAAAATGAAGGAATTATAAGCTCTGCAGCAGGCAAATGGAACGAGAATGAACTCTGAGACTGCACTCGTTTTACTCTCTAAGTATTTGGATTTTCCCCCCACTTATAGAATACCCGGATGGGTCCTGGCAATTTAATTCAAGTCACATCTACCGCACTAGTGCTTGTCAGTCTTCTGCTCAGAAGCTTCCCCCTGCACTGAGAGTGACCCACTCTCCCCTGTGGCCCGAGGGGCCTAGCTCCGCTGCCTCTCCAGTCTCCCGGCTCAGGGTCTCCTCCTCACTCTCATGGTGTGCCCCACGCTCCAGCATCCAGCTGTCCCACTCAGCTCCAGGCACAGGTTTGCCTCTATCAAGTTCTCCTTCATTGGTTGCCTGGCTGCCTCTTACGCATCTCTCTAAAGTCAGGTTGCCTGCCAGGTCCTCAGAGATGCCTCTGTCGCCCTCTCTCCCAACCTAAGCCGGATCCTAAAGACCTGGTTCTCCTCCAAGCCCCTGCATGCGGTTTGTAACCGTGTAGTTACGGTCGGAGTGGTGCTCTCACTCTGTTGCAGCCTGTGGAGGCTTTTTGCACTGCCCCAGTGCCTGTCACAATGTAGGAGCTCAGGGACTTATTTAATGAAGGAATGAAAGTGAAAATGGATGAATGAACGTTTGACATTATGTAAAGAATTGTGGAGGATGAAGGATAGACATGACTTCTGCCTTTGTAGAGCTTCATTTTGAGGGGTAAAATATCCAGCTCAAAATCTATAACAATAAAAGGGTAATATGCTAATTAGACTGGACATCCTTCCTGACGAAGCCGGAGCCGGAGGGGCGCCAGCCAGGGTGCCTGCGGGAAGCCAGTGCTGGCAGCCGGGGGAAGGAAGGCCTACTCTTGCACAAATTTTCATGCATTGGGCCTCTAGTCCTATATAACAAAAGGCTAATATGCAAATTGTCCCCTCGACCAGAAGTTCGACCTGGGGCGGGGCCGGCTGGCCAACCACCCACGGCCCCTACCCCCTGCCAACCTGGCCCAATCAGCCATGATTGGGGTGGACTGGCAGGACCCCACCCATACACAGATTCATGCACCAGGCCTCTAGTAATAACATAAAATGCAAAACTGTGTGATCATCCAGAAGCCACAGGCAGTGCTGGTGCAGAGAAGGGCAGTGTGGACATATGTGGGAGTGTGGCAGGTTTCAGGAGCGTGGGGAATCACAGGCTGTTGGGTCAGATGATCAACAGGTATGCCATTTGTCCTTTTCTCTAACCCCATAGAGGCTTTTCTTACCTGATTCCAACAATAGTTCTTTAAGGCGGGAGTTTTTTTTCCCCATTTTCTAGATGGAAAAATAAGGCCCAGGGAGATAAAGCAAATTGGCAAGAAGCATTCAAGTGTCAGAACCAGGATTCGAACCAAATCGATTGTGCTCTAAAATCTGTGTTCTTAGGCATCCGCACTCTACTCTCCTTCAAAATGAGATCCGTGTTTACAGAGTGTCACCCTATGTTCCAGGCACTGAGCTCAGCGGAACAGTTGACATAAGTGCTGAGGCTCTGAGGTTCAGGTCTGACACACTGTTAAGTAGCTGATGGCAAGTAAAAACCTGGCCTAATTGGCTGCCCGGCCAGCGTGGCTCAGTGGTTGAGCATTGACCTATGAACCAGGAGGTCACATTTAATTCCCAGTCAAGGCACATGCCCGGGTTGCAGGCTCGATACCCAGTAGGGGTTGTGCAGGAGGCAATCAACGATTCTCTCATCATTGATGTTTTTATCTCTCTCTCCCTCTCTCTTCGTCCCTGAAATAAATATAAATATAGATAGATAGATAGATAGATAGATATAGATAGATATAGATATATATAGATATATAATTTTTTTTAAACTGACCTAACACACACACATGCACACACCTTCATTCCCACCACTCTGGTTCCACTGGTTCAGATCGTAGCCCTGTCACCTGTAAGCAATGTGACTTTGAGCTGGAATGTCACCTCATCTCTTAGCAGCTAGGACTCCTCACTGGTGAGATGGTGACCACAGTCCTTACTTCTCACTAACGTTGTGAGGATTAAATAAGATACATGAAGAACTTGACACAGCTCCTGGCTTGTATTGCTGTAGTAACACGTTTATCTTGCAAGCACCATTCACATGTCCCTGGAGAGAATCTAAGATGCTCTTCTGAGAGATCCCGGATGTCAGTGGGCTCTCCTGGCACAGTATGTGGTACAGGGTTTCATGACCTTCACATGCTTATTCTTCCCGCCTGGCCCATGGGACGATGGGTAATCGCATGGGAAAAAGCAAGGCAGAAGTGGGACTTCCGTGTAGTTTTTACCAACCATTCAATATTTAATTCTGTGTTGTTAGAAACTCGAGAATATTTCCCTCGCTTCTGAAAGGTGATTCCTTGCTGGGGAAGGAGTCCCTGCCCATTGCTCAGGGCCCTGAGAATAACTGGAACAGTAGCCTCTCACTTTACAGAGAAGCTTTTTGACAGTTAACATTATGTTATTCTTGCATTGTGCTTTAGGAAATACCTGATTCTTACTCTGGTTAAGCATTTAATTTCAAAATGTTATTTTAACAGGGATTGTTTTTCCTGTTGTCCATTTAGGCCACAGCTTTGAAACCCAGCCAAGGAATTCTGGTTCTAAAACAGTACTGTAGACCTTACTGTCCTTTTGGTAAGGCTGTTAGTACTGCTTTAATTCATATTCTTGCCTGGAAAGTTAGGAATAATTACAATGCGATTCTCTTTGAGGTTGGGAATTGGGAAGTCACTGAAGCACTTACAATGCGCATCAGTGTTTTACAGTCTAATTACAGAGGAGTCAGTACAAGTATGCAATAAGGGTAATTAGTGCCTTGCTTGAGTTAATTGATTAAACCTGTGATGTTTGTTCCTAACATAATTGGAACTCTGTCCTCTGTGAAGGTCATGCCTGATTTCTTACATGTACAAGGTAAGGAAACTGTAATAAAGATATAATGAAGCCTCAAGAATTAATAATTGGCCCTAGCCAGTTTGGCTCAGTGGATAGAATGTCGGCCTTCAGACTAAAGGGTCCCAGGTTCGATTCCGGTCAAGGGCACGTACCTTGGTTGCATGCTTCCGGTCCTGGTCGGGGGCATGCGGGAGGCAGCCAATTGATGTGTCTGTCTCACATCAGTATTTCTCTCTGTCTCTCCCTCTCCCTTCCACTCTCTCTAAAAGTCAGTGGCAAAAATATCCTCGGGTGAGGATTAAAAAAAAGAATAATTGCAGTGGGAGACCAGGCTGGATTATGGAAAAATGTTACTATCACATTACGAACACAAAAATTATGGTTTGAAACATGTAAAACAATTGTCAAGTAGGGGTCTTTTTCACCTGCTTTCAATGACCAGATAAAAATGTGTCTATTAAGTGTTCAAAGTGTTCGTTTCCTTAGAAAGGCTAAACATGGCAGCAGTTTACCAGAATTCCAGAGGCTTTGCACTGATTTCCCACAAATGTTGAGATAGAATAGTCATTGCTGGTCTTGCCGTGATACCTTGTTGCATCGACCTGGCACTTACGTTTCTCAGCAAAAGTCCTCCTTTATTACATAACAGACCACCTGTTAGTACTTAGCAAGGTTCTAACTGGGATGCAACACCTGACCCAGAGTCAGGGTGCTGCGTGTCCTCTGTGTTACCCCACGAAGACCGGAGGCCTAGGTTCCGGGACTGAAGACCAGCTTGCATGGAGCCTCAGTCGTGTGCTGTCCGTCCACCATCTCGCTGAGTCTCAGCACACTGGCGCCTCTGGGACCACCGCTCACTCCCTGCCTAAGGGTAATGTGTGCTGTTCAGCACAGGCCTTAGGCTTAGAGCATCATGGTGAGGGAGGGCTTGAGTGCAGACAGACCATTCTCCACCTCCGTTTAACCATTCTGATAAAATTCAGGTCATAGTTATACTTTGTTAAAGGGTTGTTCTGGTTATTAATACTGGCATAATAGAATAGCTCAGAAAGCATTTAGTATTAAGTTTTTTATATTACCTATTGTCTTGCAGTGGTTCTCAACCTTCCTAATGCCGCGACCCTTTAATACAGTTCCTCATGTTGTGGTGACCCCCAACCATAAAATTATTTTCATTACTACTTCATAACTCTTATTTTGCTACTGTTATGAATCATAATGTAAATATCTGATATGCAGGATGTATTTTCATTGTTCACGACCCACAGGTTGAGAACCACTGCTTTAGAGGCTAGTCCTAGATTTAATATTTTAAAACTGTCTATATTCCACATCCAGGGGATGAAGTCCTTTGTTACCCAGTTTTTTAATAAACAGTGTAAAGGTCAACAAAGTGTAAATGTAAACGAGGAGATTACGACAGCTCCTAGGGTGCTCGGCCACCTGGGTCTTTAAGACCTCCCACAGCAGTCACTTGGCACTCAATCACAGCTCAGGACAGTGTGTCTGATGGTTGCACGAAGCTGCTGTGAGGTCCTCGTAGGGAGTACCTGGCCTATTCCTACTCCCCTGCCTCCCCAGACAGAGCGTAGCAGCTATTGAATTAAGCTTGTCAAGTCCCTAATTCCACCCCCATGCCACACGGAATTCTAGAGAATGAAAGTATTACCTTTACTCTTCTAAAGGACATTTTTCAGAAAAATATAATAGAGATTGTAAGTTGGAGCTTTGTGCTCAGTGGTGTAAGGATTTGCTAATAGGAAATATTGATTTATATATATTTGCTAAAGGGACTGAGTGAAACTGACAGGACCACGGTAAATCCCATCACCTCTCCCTTCCCCCCTCCAAGCCTCCCCTTGGGAAGGACTGATCTCCACATTCAACAGGTTTTTCCTAAATGCCTGTTTCTCCCCGTCGCAGCCTGCAGTGTACATCAGGATCAAGAACCGGGCCCAGAAGGAGTACCTGACGGCCACTGGAAATGCCGCTGACGCCCGGGCGAACTCTGTGTGCACCGCCCCCTACAGCGGGAAGAACACGCAGGTCTGGCACTACTGCCGAGGACTCTTCAAATCCAAGGTAACCAGCGCTCATACCAGGCCCTGCTGTTGGGTTTGGGCTTGTTCTTCTGGAAACCAGAATCTTGTCAAATCAAAAGGTGTGAAAAAATAACAGAACTTCCTAGAAACAGTTTGTCCCTGATTATATAAATACTGGTGTTGATACATGAAAGTGACTGGACTTTATTTTAAAGTAAAATCTAAGATCACACACTGTGATCTAAATGGTTCTTTAGAACCAATGGTGACAGTCACTGGGTCCAGGGTGGGCAGTGTGCTTCTCAGGTGAGGTGCTCCTTTAAAGCCCAGATGGAACTGGCTGCCTTTGGGATTCCAGACCCGGTGGTGCCTTCTCATTTTCAAAATGAAGTAGCTAGAGAAGAGAGAAGCTGTCACTGGGGAAAGCCTAGGAAATAAAATCCGGGTTCTGTTTCTCTGAGACCCCTCCGTGTCTGATGCTGTGGGGAATAAAAGTTTTAGAACGTTCCAAGTGTATTGTATTGTCTCGCCGGTGGCTTGTCTACTTTTATCTCATGCTTCACCCAAAATGAAAAGTATTAAGAAAACTAAGTTCTTTGAGCTAATACTTGTAAGCTAGCAGGGACTTAACATGTAATTCTAGTCCAACAAACATTTATTGAACATCTGTTGTCAGATGTAGACATCTTTTTAGAAACAAGTACCTCTATTTCAGGTTTATTTCTATACCACTTCCTCCCCTCAGCGATAACGAAGCTTTTGGGGAGCTTACTGAAGTGATAATTATGCTGTGTACAGTATTTTTTTCAGAGGGGACATGGTCGCTCACTGTCTGTGACTTGTTCACATGGAGGAAGGGCCCGGCGTGTGCTCGCCCTCTCGGGAGCTCGCCGCCCTCCCAGGCCTTTCCCTCTTCTAAGCTCCAAGGGCCCTTCTTTGCTTCTGTAACTTGTCCCCCAAGCCCGAACAGCCCAGCTGTCTCCCTTCCACTACCTCTGTAACTTGCTAAATAAATTTTCTCTTGAAGTTTGAAAAGAAAAAAAGAAAAGGGACCCAATTCTAGGTATTTTAGCAAACACAGTGCTACCCATGCATTTCTTAACCCTGTAGGCCAGCGACACCTGCCTGGATGTGATTGGCGGCCGGGACACACCCGGAGCTAGAGTAGCCCTGTGGGCGGAACATGGGCAACTGAGGCAGAAGTGGAGGCTGAACAGAAACGGCACCATCAGCTCCTATCTCAGCGACCAGCTTGTCCTCGATGTGAAAGGTGGGCCCGCAGGGAAACCCCGTGAGTCATGTTTCTGGATTCCATTTTAAGTTAAACCTCTTCCTTCTCCTGGGTAAAGCAAATCACTATGTATAAGAGAGAGATGAAGTCATTTTAAATTATGTTTGGAAAAAGTTAAGATTTTCTGTTTTAACAAACAAAACCATTAGCCACGTGGATCAAGCAGGAGAAGCCTGAGGACACCACCTGAGGCCTCTGCTCATTGATGCAGCTACAAACTTACACTTGTCATGCGGGAATCTTTAGAACATTTTTACATTTGAATATCAAACCATAAAATATAATGTTTCTTAGAAAGAAACATCTCTAACTTTTTGCTGTAAATTGCTCTAGTCCAGTGGTTCTCAACCTTGGCTGCACATTAGAATCACCTGGGAATCTTTTTAAAATCCTGATTTCGGGATGAGGCCCAGAAATCAGGATTTTAAAAAGATTCCCAGGTGATTCTAATGTGCAGCCAAGGTTGAGAACCACTGTTCTAATCCTTAAAAGCCCTCAGCTGAAACCTATGGGACGTATTTAACCTTGTTTTTCCATCCAGCAAGGTCAGGGCTGCTGCTGCACTGGGTTAGTGGTAGCCACTGTTGATGTAGAAACAGAACAGTGCCTGGCACTCAGCCAGAGTCTCGAGCACCTGGTTCTCAGGCTCCAGGGTGGGGCGGGGCGGGGCACACCTCCCGTGCATCACCTGTTACAGCTCTCATGATGAGGTGAAGAATAGCTCAGCCTGTGTAAACTCAGTTTCCCATTTCAGCCCGCTTTGTAATGACATGCTAATCGACCCAAACCGCGGGCTGAACAATAGCTGTTGGACACAGTTGCGCACCTGTGTGAAGACATAATCTTTTCTTTTGGAATTTCTATTCTAGGAGGAAATTATTATGACAAGACCCATGTCATTATAAACCAGCCCCTGGAGGGGAAAGAAACGCAGAAATGGGACATTGAAATCCTGTGAGACTCGGCAGCATCCCTAGAAAGAGCCAAGGGGGAAGCGCCGTGCCTCCCCGGACAGGAAGCACCGCCGGTGCTCACCACCGGGAGCTCAGCATATTTTTGCCAACTGCTCCGTGCCCCTGTGAGGAACGGGTCATGATTTCTGGGAAAGGTTCTATTCCTGCTTCATCTCCAACTTGGGTGAGCAAGTCTACTGACGCCAGTGTTCTCTCTCCATCCACCCAGTACGTTCCCGTTCCTGACAGCATCATTTAGGACGCTGGCGGTGCTGCCGACCTGTAGGTATTCACATCCTAGTACATGTGTGGATGAGTGCAAGGCACGGGGAAGTAAATTCCTATAGGTTGTGAATAATTTTCAGCAATATTTGAAGAATAGTTAATAAACCTATTAAGCTGCTGTATTAATAGCTAAACCTTAAAGGTTTTCTATTGAGGCTTTTATAACTGAAGCACCATAAGTATTCATACTTGTAACTGACCCCAGGGAGGGACCTGAACTTTATTAGGAAAAGGGCTCAAATATGGAGTATTGTCTGTGGCCATCCTTTGCTCAGTCCTTCAGACTTAAAAAGCACAAATCACCTGACCATCCTTGCACTCTAAGTATTAGCAAGACACCCTGTGGGCCACAGGACTCACAGTGTTACCTGTCCTGGTGTGAGACCTCCCCCTCGGTTTTGCCTGATCTGCCCTCAAGAAGGGTTTATTAAAATTGTTTCACCTCCATAGAAGATGGTCAGGTATTTATTTGCCTGATAAAGGGAAGTTTCACATGTTCAAATTAAAACCAAGTAGTAGTTGAGACTGGACTATACCATTTTACTGTAAGTAAAAGTGGAGTTGATTTTTCTACGAAACAGAAAACTCAGTGTTCCACTCCCATTTTAAATAGCTTTTATTTAAGCAAAATCAGATAGGATATCACTTGGGCTTAAAGTAATCATCACCACCTTAAACCATACAATTCACAAGCATTTCTCCTTCCTGAGCTGGTTTTAAACTGAGAGTTGGAGATAACTGTTCCCTTTATCCCCAACTTTTGCCAGAAAACAGAAAAATGTCCTATTTTTTACATAGAAAGATTAAGTTCTCCAGTGGTATTTTTTAAAATATCAACCTATGTGCACTTTAGAATATAAAATAACAGTGAATTGTTTAAACTCAAAGACCCACTATTTTGAGAACTTTTTATAGAGACTTGGTCTTTCCACGTAGATATCATTGGGGTTTTTCCTTTAATCTCAGGCTCTTCTGTCATCTTCCAAGCAGCATCTGTAAAACTCCCTCACGCCCATAGACATGAGTGCCTCTCATCAGTGTGGCAGCATTATTTAATGGAACTTATAGGGGTAACTTTATTTTAAATGGGGGGCTTGTGTATACAAAAGGTATGTATATTGTCATTGTAAAAAAAAAAAAAGTTAAAATTTTTTTCATGTTAATTGCTTAAAAATTTTTCAGAGCCAATGAGGCTCTTTAAAGGAGTTTCTTCCAAAGAACAGAGACAAAGCCAGGTAACAAATTTTAAATTTAAATGATACCTTTATTGTCGTTGTGCCTTTTCTACCACACTGGATTAAATAAACCTGTCACAAGTATGGTTTTGCCACTTTCTAGGACACTTAGTAATGTGCCATCCTTTCTTTAATGCATATGACCACTTGTAACCGGTGGGTCTCATGCTACCAGAACACATGTAGTCAAGTTGTATGTAACCATCCCTCCAGCCCTGTCTGCTACTCAGAGCAGCAGGGGCCCCCAACGTATCAATGTTCGCTTTTCCTGTGTATGCAAAATCCTAGACACGGTGCGTAGAGGCGCTAGACTACCTGGAGTAAACATTCTGTCCAGAGAGACAAGGCCAGGCTCTCCTTTTCCTCATCTGTAGCAAGTTTCAGGTCCTTGACAGAAATCGCTGAGCTGCTCCAAATTTGCTTCAGTGCATCCACATGAGATAAAGGAAAACGAAGACCATAAGCCTGAAAAAGGATAAACCTGTCAGATAATACTCCACTTATGTCTCTCCAGGGGCACTCTCATATAAACTCCCAAAACTCTTCGTACGCCGTTATTTTTGACGCCCTTCAAAGTATGAAACTTGTTTCAGATGGGCTAGGCCAGTGGTCGGCAAACTCTTTAGTCAACAGTGCCAAATATCAACAGTACAATGAGATTGAAATTTCTTTTGAGAGCCAAATTTTTTAAACTTAAACTATATAGGTAGGTACATTGTTATTAACTTAATTAGGGTACTCCTAAGATGGCCTTTGCTAAAAACGTCCTCAATCTGAGGGGTTGACCTCAGCGAACGTACTCCCATTTCTTCTAACGTCACTTCTTCAAAATAGACTCGCTTAGGCTGAAAACCGACTTCTGCGCGTGGGCTGCGAAGTTTCAATCGCACTGTACGTGCGCGCCCGCACGTGGTATTTTGTGGAAGAGCCACACTCAAGGGGCCAAAGAGCCGCGTGTGGCACGCGAGCCTCGGTTTGCCCACCACTGGGCTAGGCTATGCACGTAGACTATAATCAGATAACTTACAGAATTTGCCAATTCCCGTATGAAAACTCAAACTTCAGGAAAGACATCCTAACGTAAATGCTTAGCATGACATTACACCTTTCCTGCACATCCAGCTAGTGTCTGCACGTCACAGAACCATGTGACTCGCAAGGGCTGTCAGGTGTATGGAACGTTAAGCCCGCACTGCAGTCATAACAAAGCACATTCCCCATAAATCAGAGGGAACAGACTCTCCCAGCCACCACCGACCGCAGGAAAAGCATCCACTTCAGGTTGGAACGAACCTCTGTTTCCTCGCTCCCCATCATGTGTGTCTCTCTCCTGTTCTGTAAGGAGTGGTAGATGTAAACCATCTTTTCTTGAGTTTCATCCTTTAAAAAGAAAAAGCATTAAGTCATCAACAGAATTTAGAGGGTTTTGTTACTAGGAGCATTTTCCAATAACATGTGTCAACAACCAAGAAAAATCTTAAAACCTCGGTGCTTTAGTGAAATTTATTGACTACTGTAAAGAATCCTTTGGGCAAAATGTTGTGATATATTGTGTGTGCGCCTATTACTTCATTACCGTCCTCACAGATTACGATTTGTTTGTAGCAAATAACAGATAAAACAGTACACCTGCTAGAGCATCTTCAGAAACCTGATTTCATGAAAAAGCAACCATTTACATAGCAACCTAATGAAATACTCAAGTTTCTTCACTTAATCACACCTGCACTTTTTTGCATCAAAATTTGACATGAAAATTATGGAGTGAACATTATCTCTAGAGAAATACCAGCTGTATGATCTATAAAACTTTCATTCCAGTTACAGTGGCCTCCTCAACGGCCTCTACGTCCCTCCCGCTCCCTCGCACACAGTGCAGCTCAGACTCTGCCAGAGCCTGCCATTCCCTGTCGCCTTAGGTAAAGCCCCAACACCTTGGCCTGGGAGAGGATGGCCAAACTGATGGATTAGCAGAGTGACGGCGTTTTTCAATGAAGATGTGTACTTTTGAGGTGTTGTGTCTATTAGAAACCAGGTCTGGCCCTGACGGCTGGAGCGTCTGTTCATGGACACATCTAGGTGCCCCCATCCCTCCAATCATCCCTGAGGTGCCTCCCGAGAAAGCTGACTAGGAGGAGCCGGGTGAAGCCTTAGGGCCTGGGACAGTTCCAAAGGTCTCTGGGTTGTAGGGGGAGCTGTAACAAGTGCAGAGGGTCCAACCCAGACCAGATGGAGCCCAGGAATTCATTATCTCAAACTTTTCCAGCTGATTCTACGATCAGCCAGTTTGGGGAACTACTGGGTCACGTATGGAAAGCAGAATATCTTCCTACAGGATAGAGATTTTTTTAAGAAGAAACATCAACAAAACTGTATGTAAAGACAGACCTGCACAGTTTACAGGACGGAAGAGGGACTGAGGTAGGGAGACGCATGGACAGGGTCCAAAGTCGTCTGAGCAACATGGCCTGAAACCCAACTGGGGGCAGAGACCAGACATTAATCACTATGTGAGGGGAATTAAAAGGGTTCTGTGGGCCTCCGTGTTGCTCAGTGGTTGAGCATCAACCCGTGAACCAGGAGGTCATGGTTCAATTCCCAGTCAAGGCACAGGCCCAGATTTCGAGCTCGATTCCCCAGTAGGGGCCGTGCAGGAGGCAACCAAGTGACGATTCTCTCTCATTGATATTTCTATCTTTCGCTCTCCCTCACTCTGAAATCAGTTTTTTTAAAAGGATTCTGTGGGAGATGAGGGCAAGCAAGCCCTCAAATGCCCACCAGGAAGGGAAATGTGGAACAGTGAGGTTTGGGCAGTATCCGCCCTAAAGCAATGGCAGGCACTGAGCTGTGAGAGCAGAGGGACTGCCAGAGGGGAGGGCGTGGCCACCTGTTAGTCTGAGGGAGATGCCCTGAGGACGGAAGCCTCTCCCCTCCGGATACTCACAGACCCACCCTGGTCCGGCATCACCGTGAGGACGATGTGGTCTTTATAGCGCAGCCTCACGATGCTGTCCAACCTCGGCAACTGTCCACCTAGAGAATCCAGACAAAAAAGCAGTTTTCAAAAGTGGGACCCAGCAGGATCCAACTAGCCTGCAGGTGCAGCTGTTTAAGGAACACATTTACTGACAATCTGCAGTGAGTCCAACCAGGGTATTTACTTACCCTGACATTTATAGTGATGCTATAGTTTACGTCCTTATGGAGCCCATTCTCATAGTGAAGACAGACATAAGATGAGCCGATAAGTACATTAAATAGACATAAACTGCGGAGGCGGGCCCTGCCCTCCTGCTCAGAGCACTCTGTCTCCAGTTTATCCTCTTTTGCTGCTTATTCTACATGTGGATGCCAGAAGGAGCACCTGCGTTCAGACTGCACCACCCCATCAATTACTAGTTGCGTGACTGTGGCAAATAGTCTGTGTAGATCAAGCATGGTGTCATGTAAAAGCCACCTGGTAACGTTCACAGGGACAAAAATAATTTTCAAATTGAATTTAACTTAGTGAAAAGGCAGCCACTACAAGCAGACTAGCCTAAAGGGCCCTCTTCCCTGGTAAGGGATCATAGCTTTATTGACTACAGTGGCTAAGATACGGAAAACTAGAAAAATATTCTGGGCCGTTTTCCCGAGACTCAGAAAGCTCTGTTCTGTTAAAGATTAAAATATGTGCTGGTAAAACATTTGCTATTTTGAATAGATACAATCAAAAACAAATCCTAAACTTCCCCCAAAGATATAATAAAAATAGAATCAGTGTTAGAAGGGATTGTTTATTCCACCGGTTCTCAACTGGTGATAAACAAGGCTTCTTTAAAAGTTGGTGAAAATGCTGCTCTTGCTCAGCCCCACTGAGGAAGAGGCAGCCCCTGGCCCCGGCCGGGCCACGGCCTCCTGATGTTCTACAGAAGTGAGGCGGCTCCAGAGACCATGTAACACAGGCCGCGCTGACTGAGATCAAGACAAACAGGACTGCTGCAAACACGTCAGGACTCAGGCAAAACAACATCGTCCACACGGCAGAAGTGAACAGACAGCTCCTCTCCTGGCGAAGGAGACCGCTGCTGATTTACCCGACGTCACATCAGTCCTCCTGCCACGGGCTCAGATGTACGAGACCCAGTCACAGGATCCCCGACTTCCCGACAGCACCTAACCCAGAGCAAAGCCCTTTGACTGAGATGCCCCATAGCTCCCAACAGTGTGTGTGGGCCTCTGCGCTGCAGCAAGTCAATAAACCCCACTGTGTCCGACCACAGGAGTTGGTGCTGCTGGTCTTTGCTACAGAACATGGAAATCGCCACCCCCCGGAAGTGTGTTAGGTCATTTGCAGCCTAAACCGGTCACAAAACAGTCACCTGGGACGTGGGGGAGGTGGGTGATCACCTGGGGCATTCTCCCATTCCACCTGCTGAACGGCAACATGCTCCCCCTCCCAGAGTTAATTCCAAGGAGAATGTCCCGATGTTCAAGCCCTTAAAACGTCCTGACGACGGCTTTTACCCAAGTACCTGTGCATACACATATTTCTCCCCAAAAATCAGAGCGCTCATTCCCCACGGGCAGGGACTCGAGGTCTGTGCATGTGACTGAGGTACAGGAAGCTAAGGCGTGTGTGCAGCATGTGTTGTCCAACCACGCACACTAGAGACAGGTCCAGCTCCGTGGAAATTCTAAAATGCTCCAACGTTCCACCTGCTCAGAGAGGCCGCCCAGGAAAGCCTCCAAATACCACGTTAGCCTGACCCCGAGGAGACAGCAGCTCACCTGGCGTGGAGAGCGCTGCTCCGTCTCCCACATGGAAAGGGGGGAGTCTGTTCATGACAAAGTCCTTCTTCATGTCGGATGAAAGCAGCTGGTTGGTGCCTTCCAGGCGGTCTGCAAGCGTCCTCAGAAAGCCACTTAATCTCCTCCTCGCATCGGCAGTGGTTTCCACCTGCTAGAAACGGAGGAGAGTCCTGGTCCAGAATCCAGCAGAACTCGGGGCCTCGGTCCCGGTCTCCACAGCAGCCCCTGGTATAGACACATCCACGTCACCCCCAGAGAGTGGGGATTGAGGAGACCGGAACCCCTGTGAACAACGTCCCATTATTTCCATATAACCACTGCCCGTCTGAAGCTGCCTAATGTTCACACACACAAAAATCCATTTTCAGGATTTTACCTGGAAAGGGGTCCCTGGAAATGCAGTCTGGGCTCTAGCCTCTCGGAAAGCAAATCACTGTCCTAAGGTGACTGCGTCAGACAGTGAACGTACCTGTGCCCAATTCAGCACTTGTCCGCCCTGGGTTCACACATCTTCTCAAACCAGCCAAATGGCTGCTTGCCCAACGGAAACCCAGGACGGACAAGAGCGCCAGGGAAACGGCAAGGCCGGGCCCCCACCGGGCTCTCCTAAGCAGAAACCTCACGTGCGCTGGCTGCCCCTGCAGGTCCAGCCACGTTACTTATGCAGCGTTTACTCAGCCAGCACTCCCACAGGGCCTGCTCCTGCCGCCAGGAGCACAGAGAGGCTGTCCGCACAGCTCCGTGGCTTCTCCAGTCACACAAGGTGCGGCACTCCCGTGCGTCCCCAACCACCCAGCTCTGCGGGGTCAGCGCAGGAGAAGGGACAATGGCTCGTGTGAGAAGGGTCAGCTGCCGGGGCTGTGAGACCCCCCTTCCCCACCTGCCTTCCCCTTACCAGGAGCAGCTGCCGGGGGATGCCGGCCCGGAACGCCACATCTTCCTTTGCGGCATCAAACACAAGCCCCGAAATGGTGTCCAAAAGGAAATCTCCCCACGAACTGGAACACGCACCACCACCACCAACAACAAAAAAAAACAGTAACAAAACACAGAAACCACTGATTACTACTAAAGCCGGACACCACAAATGGCACCTCCCTGCACTCCAGGCCTTGATTCCCTCCGTTTGCGTGACCACCGGCAGGCACACCTACCTACGGGCTGGTCCATCCCACTGTTCTCCCGCCCCTCCCACACTCGCATGGGCAGTCACTGGTGGGAAGGGAGACTTGATTCATGATTTCTCTTAAAGATGCCAGAGAATTAAACATATAATGTCATGAAGTAGAAAGTTGAAGGGACCAATTTTTTTAATGTTTTTAACTGTAACAAGTGTCTGTGAGGAGAGCTTTGTAGGAAATTTTAACACTCAATCATCATAGGACCAAAAAAGTTTTATGTGCAAAAATTCCAAAAGCAATACATTTAGGGTAACAGCAAGGTCCCCGGACTGTGTAATTATCTGCAGTTACACGTTACCTTTTCCTTCGCCCCTTATACAAGAGTAAAGCGTAAAACATCCGTCAACATCCATTTCAAAAGAACTGATCTCGCAACTTGAACTCTAGCAATGGCTTTACTGGGGTAGGAGGCAGAAGCCAGTGGCCAGAAATAACATCTGGGGAGGTGATTCAGTGTTCAGTTACCTGTGCGCTCTCAGGGGCATTTAGTATTGGCTCGCCCCTAAAAGTGCACCCGTGTGAGAAACCACTCCCGGGGGTGCTCTCTTTAAACACCTCTTAGCTGTTTAAATTTTCCTGTGTCACCAGCGGGTGTGGCTGTGTGCGAAATGGAAATTCACAGTGTGACTCTGGCTTCTCACTCAGTAAGCAGAATTAACACATTTATACTTCCCTCCCCGACAAGCGGCCGAGGAGGACAAAAACCACAGGAGGGCACGTTCCCAAGACATCCACTACCACCTGCTGGCCTCCCGCTTTGCGACAACGTCACCCCAACCTCACATCCTGGAACTGGAGGAGGCGTGCCGACCTTCCCCAGCACAGAACCAGCTCTGCCTGCAGGGTCACGGGCGGTCGTGCGCAGCAGCCACCCCCACCCAACCCCCCCCCCCCCCCCCAGGAGTTGAACTGCGTTAAACAGAGCTGTGTGCTCTTCTACGAGTCAGAGTGGGCCTTGGGCCTCTGAAGGAGTTCACTTTGGTAAAACAGCCAAATCACCTGCTGCTGTCCCACCAGCAGGCCCCAGTGTTCCACATGCTGCCCTAGAGAGGTGCTGGGAAGAGGCCCCACACACACACTCTGCCTTAAGGAGCACCAGGCCCAAGGCAGGGGACACCTCCAGGGTGCAGGGTCCTTGAGTAACGTTTCCCCTCTCACTCAGCTTGGGTGACGCCCAGCTTTGCTTAGTGCATCCTCTCTGCTCCACGAGTTTCCTCTGCAAACCTGGGATACAGTTTATCACAGCCTACCTCCCTCCTACACCGCTTCCAGCGTGTCAGCCCACAAAGGCCCTTCATGCAATGCCTGTACTCCCAGCGACAGCGCAGGGCCTGGGGCCCGCATGCTGACAAATTAATGGCTGGTGTTTAAACGGGGTTTGAGCTAGCAAGGCTGATGCTATTAGGAAATCATTCACAAGGTGCCACTGCCCAGGGCCTGTCATGTGACAAGGCACCTGCCGAAATGGAACATGGTTTTCACTGGAACTACTCTTAGGTCTGACTCCTCCAGACTGCCTTTCCCGCTTTAATTCCTACAACTGTAAGAAGTGGGAGCCTTCACAGAGACCCAGAGGTTTGGATGGTAACGGAGTTTCTGTTTGGGTGATGAAAATGTTTTGGAACCAGATAGTGGTGATGGTTGCAAAACAGTGTGAGTGTACTTGATGTCACTCAACTGTACACTCAAAATAGTTAAGCCCTGGCTGGGTGACTCAGTTGGTTGGAGTGTCATTCCGGACGCCAAAAGGTTACGGATTCAATTCCTGGTCAGAGCACATACCCAGGTTGTGGGTTCAATCCCCGGTCAGGTCAGGCAACCTATCCATTTTTCTCTCTCAGATCAATGTTTCTCTCTCTCTCTCTCTCTCTCTCTCTCTCTCTCTCTCTCACACACACACACACACACACACACACACACACACACACACAAAGGGGGAGGCAAAAGTAGGTATACAGCTATTCATATGGAAAGATGCAGATTATGATTATTAGAACAGCTTGTTATAATAATGTACTCACGAAGTGTAAACCTACTTTTACCCACTCCTGTATATATTTTC